TGGGGCAGTAGGTATTTTCTTCTATTAATTCTTCCACGTTGATTCATAATATGCTAGGAGAAACACTATCTGATTCTCTTACTCTATTAGGGAAAGGGGATCAGGTAAAAGGTGTTATATAAAAACAAACATAGGGCTTGCCCAAAATATTGTTTTAGATAAAAACTCAGAAATGAAACTACACATATGTGAAAATCTTGTATGTGACATAGTAGTGCCCAGTAATGAAGAAACAATGCCTGATTTAGGCTATCTTCATGGGAAAAAAGTGAAGCTGTACCAGGCTACCTCATATACACAAAAGCCAATTCTGAACAGATTAAAAACCTAAATGCCATAAAACATTTTAGAAGAAAATAAAGGCAAATAATGACCCTGCAGTATATTTCCTGAACAAGACACAAAGGGCACAAACTACAAGGCTAAAGAAAAACAAAATTCACCTACGTTAAAATGTAGACTTCTGTCCAACAGCAAAAACCAGAATGTGAAAAAAACTAGAGAAAAAAACATTGCAACATGTAACAAAGAATACATAAACCATTCCATTCCAATAAATCAATAAGACAAAAAGCCCAGTCTTGCAATGTTTGTTACTCATATGTCATTTTTGCAAAAAAAAAAAAAAAAAAAAGAGAGAGAGAGAGAGGCAGGCATATCACACCAGGGAAGAGAAAAACCATCTGGTAGTACATCACTCGTAAAGGCAAGTGAACAGGCACTATCCCGCCTGGTCAGTAAGGACATAAAATGATGACAATCTCTTTGGAGGACAACCTGCCAATATCCATAAAAAATATTTTCACTTGGCAAATGCACTTCTAGGAGTTATTCAAGAAATAAACTCTTACATACATAACGTCATCAGTCAAGGACATTCTCTGTAATGTGTCTAGTAGCCGAAAAATGAAAACTTAAAATGTCCACCAATAGAAGGTAAGTATAAATAAATCACATGCATATGATGGAATCTGAGACAAAGTCCTATGCAGATAAGGAACTATCACTAAATTAACTGTTACGTGAAAAAATCAAGAGGTAGAACAGAACATTTTAAAACGGGAGCTGGTTACAAGGTAGAAGATGGAAAAATATTTCTGCCTACATGCATAGATGACCTCTGGATGGTACATAAGAAACCAGTGAAAGTGATGGCCTCTGAGAAGAAGGGTAAGAGACTGGGGCTAAAAGTAGATATTGCCCCTCACTGATCAGTCTATAATAGTTTTAATTTGCTTTTTACCCATGTATGTATGCACTATCTTTTCAAAAACCAAAATCTCCTGCTATGAAAATTTCAGCCATTCCCAATAAATAAAATAAATAAATGATAGCATATCCATACTTATAAATACTATATTCAGAAGTTGCAAAGAACAGTGAATCAATATGTACTAAGAACCGATAGAAGGTTTCTTTACGGATAATGAAAATGTTTTAAAATTGACTGTGGTGATGAATATCCAACTCTACGAATATGCCAAAAGCCATTAGCTGTACACTTTAAATGAGTGAATTCTATAGCATGTGAATTATATCTCAATAAAGCTATTAAAAAATATATATAGATATACAGTCATTTACTGCTTAACAACAGGGATATTCTGAGGACTGCGTTGTTAGGGGATTTCGCTCTTGTGTGAACATCATAAAATGCACGCACACAAATCTAGATGGCACAGCGTACTATACACCCAGGTTATAGCATATAGTCTACTGTTCCTAGGCTACAAGCCTGCACAGCATATGGCTGTACAGAATACTGTAGGTGACTGTAACACAGTGGCATTTGTTTATCTAACCAGAGAAAAGATACAGGCAAATATGGTATAACTTTATGGGACCACCATTGTAAATGGGGTCCATGATTGAGCAAAATGTCCTTATGTTGTATGTAACTAGATACGTACATACATACAGAGAGAAAAGATTCAGAAACTACAGTGCAAGCTTGTCCAGCCCGCAGCCCAGGGTGGCATGCAGCCCAGGACAGCTTTGAATGCAGCCTAACACAAATTCATAAACTTCCTTAAACATCTTAAGACTTTTTTGCAATTTTTTTTAGGTCCTCAGCTATCATTAGTGTTAGTGTATTTTATTTGTGGCCCAAGACAATTCTTCTTCCCATGTGGCCCAGGGAGGCCAAAAGATTGGACACCCCTGCTATTATAGTTCCTAAGAGCCCCTCACCGGTTTCTCCCTTTTCTCCCCTCCATTGGTTTTGACAAAGTTTTACTGGAACACAGCCACACCCATTAGTTTATATACTATCTATGGCTGCTTCCATGCTATGATGGCAGAGCTGGGTAGTTACAAAAGCCAGTATGGCACACAAAGCCTAACATGTTTACTATTTGGCCTTTTACAGAAAAAGTTTGCAGACCTCTGATATTAAAAAGTCTTTAAGTCACATAATTGAATAAAAAACAACAGTTGTAGAATTATACAGTCAGTATTATCATTAATGTTCAAAAACCACAAGCAACATAATACAACAGAATTTCATTTTCTTTTTCTTTTTGAGACGGAGTTTTGCTCTTTTGCCCAGGCAGGAATGAAGTGGTATGATCTCGGCTCACTGCAACCTCCACACCTCAGGGGTCAAGCAATTCTCCTGCCTCAGCCTCCAGTAGCTGGGATTGCAGGCATGCACCACAATGCGCAGTTAATTTTTTAATTTTTAGTAGAGATGGGGTTTTGCCACATTGGCCAGGCTGGTCCAGAACTCCTCACCTCAGGTGATCAACCCACCTCCGCCTCCCAAAATGCTAGGATTACAGGTGTGAGCCACCGCACCTGCCCATGTGACAGAATTTCTGTTTGTTTTGTTTTGTTTTTTTGTTTGTTTGTTTTTTTGAGACGGAGTTTCGCTCTTGTTACCCAGGCTGGAGTGCAATGGCGCGATCTCGGCTCACCGCAACCTCCGCCTCCTGGGTTCAGGCAATTCTCCTGCCTCAGCCTCCTGAGTAGCTGGGATTACAGGCACGCGCCACCATGCCCAGCTGATTTTTTGTATTTTTAGTAGAGACGGGGTTTCACCATGTTGACCAGGATGGTCTCGATCTCTTGACCTCGTGATCCACCCGCCTCAGCCTCCCAAAGTGCTGGGATTACAGGCGTGAGCCACCACGCCCGGCATGACAGAATTTCTATGAGTCCATGCAATACAGTTAAGAAATGCTCTAGAAGGATAAGTACCAAACCAAATGTATACCCAGTTACACCCACGCAGAGGCAGACGGACAAGGATTAGGGGTTAGTCAAAGGGGACTTTGGCTTTTCGTAATTTAACTGAATATTTGCTTTGTTTGAAAGAGTTAATATTCATGTATTACTTGAATAATACATTTTGAGGACATTTTTTATTAGCTTTTTATAAAGTGAGGCTGGCAAAAGTGGAAAGTAACAGGACTAGGTGGAATACAAATTGTGAGCCCTGATCTTGGTCTTAATGTTATGAAACTCTGCACAGAATTTTAGCAATTCTGACCCTACGCCCACCTTTTACTTTTTACAGATCTTTATCGTGGCATTCCACTTATAGTTCACTTTGATTAACCTCAGAACTGAGGTTTCCATGTTGTAAGGTTCCACGTGAAATGACGTGGAAGACAAGCTACAAGGTAGGCACAGGCCAGAGAGCTTCTGGGTCCTGACGACAGTCAACTATTTCAGGCATGTAACTCCCATTTCAGGGCCCCTGGGCCAGGCGGCTACTCCCAGTCTCAGGGCTAGTGCAGCCTTGCAGTCAGTCCATCCTGTCAGCCTTTGTATTCATATATTCATATTATTCACATGATGCCCATAAGAATACTAGGACTTCCAACGTTTTTCAGCACCTCAAAATGCAAGTACGTTTGGCTAGTCTTGTAACAAAGTATACCTTAGGAAGGAAATGAAATCATTTCTAATGAGCAACTAAAGCCCTAGACTGGCACATATGTAATTTGAGTCCCTAACCAAGCTGCCTTCAACCATAATTCACAGAGATAATGTGGGTACACATGATCAAATATATATAAAATCCATCTCTAGGAAAATAAAGTAGGTTGAAATTCGACTAGAGAAAGTAAATTAGTTTTGGACAATTATTAGTTTAAAAACCATGGGAACGGACAGTTTTTCAAACCAAAAACGGAATATGTCAAGTATAGTTTCCAACTGCATACATTTATACAAAATTAGATCTCAGATAACCAGTCTTCTTATAATATAACTACAGGCTATGTACACTTGCTGGAAAAAAACAAGTACTCTAAAACAATAACAAAGGAAAGCACCTAAAACAAAAAGAGAGATGGACAGGATATCATTGGGGCCATGATTTTTGTTTTTTTTTTTTGACGGAGTCTCGCTCTGGTTGCCAATGGCACAATCTCAGCTCACTGCAACCTCCACCTCCTGGGTTCAAGCAATTCTCCTGCCTCAGCCTTCCAAGTAGCTGTGACTACAGGTACACGCCCCCACGCCCGGCTAATTATTTTGTATTTTTAGTAGAAACGGGGTTTCACCATGTTAGCCAGGCTGGGCTTGAACTCGACCTCAGGTGATCCACCCGCCTTGGCCTCCCAGAGTGCTGGGATTACAGGCACGAGCCACCGCACCCAGCCAGGCCCATGATGTTTAAAGGACTTGTGCTAAGTCTGTACGCTTGAACAACTAACAACAGGGGAAACCTGTGTAATTCTCTAATTACAGGTACACCACAGTCACTTCTGCTTCTGAAACAAAAGCAACCGGACAACCTGAAGAAAGGCTGTTAAAGCTGAAATAACCTGGGCAAGGCTGGCTGTACAGAAACGACGGTTTTGGGGAAAAGAATCCATTCACAAAAATGTTCTTTTAAACAATCGGGTTTAGCAAATCTTCACAAAAGAAAGAGAGTAAGATGTTGAGTACTAACAAGAGAGAAGCATTAAAAATTACACATAGACACATTTTAAACTAAATGTAATTTATGTTTCTCCTTGGGGAAGAAGATTTGCTTCTAGGAAACTCACCTCCGTGTTCTAGAAAAACCCGAACACATCTTTCCTTTCCTCTTGCTGCAGAGAAATGAAGCAGAGTCCAGCCATTAGCATCTCGGCCATTTGGAGAATAGCCTTGTTCTAACATCTTTCGCACCGTGTGGACATCCCCAGCAGCCACGGCAGCCTGGATCTGCAACTCTTCCTGGAGTTCAGGGTTCCTTCGACAGTGATGGTGTAACATCCTAGCTGAGTCCGCTTTTTACAAAGGATTCATTAGGTTACAGGGGTCAGCCTTTAAGAAGGGAAGGTAGAAAACATGAAATTTAGAATAACTGCTTCCTGATACCATGTCCACCAAGTATCACAGAATGTTCCATTTGCTCAATCAGTAAACCTTATTTGACAATGCATACCACTAGCCAGGTGTGGTGTGCCTATAGTCACAGGTACTTAGGAGGCTGGGGGGGTGGGGATCACCTGAGCCCAGGAGATCAGTCCCAGCTACTCAAGAGGCTGAGGTGGTAGGATCACCTGAACCCAGGAGATCAAAGCTGCAGTGAGCCCTGACAGCACCACTGCACTACTCCAGCCTGGACCACAGAGCAAGACATCATCTTGAAAAAATTAAAAAAAAAAAAAAAAAAAGTAGCAAGATGATACAATATATTTTAAAACCTTAAGAATCTAAACAATCAGGCCAGGCACAGTGGCTCAGGCCTGTAATCCCAGCACTTTGGGAGGCCAAGGTAGGAGGATCACTTGAGGCCAGGAGTTTGAGACCAGTCTGGCCAACATGGTGAAACCCCATCTCTACCAAAAATACAAAAATTAGCTGGGTATGGTGGCACACACCTGTAATCCCAGATATTTGGGTGGTTGAGGCAGGAGAATTGCTTGAACCCAGGAGACGGAGGTTGCAGGGAGCCGAGATTGCGCCACTGCACTCCAGCCTGGTCAACAGAGTAAGATTCTGTCTCAAAAAAAAAGAATCTCAACAATCTGGTGCTTAACCACATGATAAAATTACAAAAAGGAAAAGTAATACAGTGAATTCTCATACTCTCTCAAAGATCACAAAAGATGAATATACTAAAACCCAATATACAACGAAATCTCTGGACAGGCACACTGGCTCACATCTGTAATCCCAGCACTTTGGGAGGCCAAGGCAGGAGGATCACTTGAGCCCAGGAGTTCGAGACCAATCTGGACAACATGGTGAAACCCTGCCTCCACAAAAAATACAAAATTAACAAATTAGCCAGGCATGGTAGTGTGTGCCTGTAGTCCCAGCTACTCAGGGGGTAGAAGCAGGAAGATCATTTGAGCCTGGGAGGTTGAGGCTGCAGTGAGCCGTGACTATGCTACTGCACGCCAGCCTGGGATACAGAGCAAGATCTTGTCTGAAAAATTAAAACAAAAAAGTAAAATGAGACCCCCTTTATGGAAAACAGGAATAGTCCAAAGTAAAATGGTAAAAAGTTGCATCTTACATGTCTATACAAAAGCTTTTTTAGTGTGTTTTTAAGCTTTTAACCACATACAGAAACCTAAACGAACAAGCTTCTAGAAAGCCATTCCAGGTGTGCTAACTGGAAGAAACAGATTAGACTCGTCTCTTAACTAGTAGCCTCTGTTCTAAAAAAAAGTTTAAACTGTGATAAAGCCCTTTATAAAGACATTTTTGTTCTCATATGTAGGTTAGGCATCGCAGGATAATCTTGTTAACAACAATCATTTATCTTGCAAAACTTATTATAGACTGTACAAAGGGTAAACTTAGGCCTAACAAGTCAAATCATCACAACTTAAGAATACAAATATCCTATGTTATTTTATACATAGAAAAATGGTGTTTTTACATACTCATAAGTATCATGACTAAATGATCAAATTTAAAAATATCAAGCTACTTCTACAGTTATTTCCTCAAAGAAAACTGGGAATAAACAAGATTGCCTCTTATTTCTTCTCTCAATTCCTTCACAAATTGACCCTCCTTAGAAGATTTTAAACGAGAATCCTTTCAGAATAGGTTGTTGCTTATTCTCAGTTATAAGAGAAAATGCTGAACACCATCCAAAGAAATTAATGGCAACTTACTATGCTCACAATCATCCTTAACAGATTTTCTTTTTAATGAAGTGATTGTGTTGGCACTTAAATGAGGTCTACCATGCAAGAAAAAGACTGAAAGAATATCAAGACAAACCTGGGTTTTCTTTAGTGAGTGGTATATTTAATACACATTAACTAATTTAAGAGAGAAGGAAAAGTTAAAAGTTAAATGAGTTTTCCCCCAAAACAACACAGATGACTGATGATCGAGTCAACTTACCTTACAGAAGAGTGTCCCTTCTCCTGATGTTTGGATTGCTTAATAACCATCGTGCACATACAGCATCGTGGGAAGGGGGTTCAAAGTATGTCCAGACTGCAGAGTAAAAAAGCCTTCTTGACCTAAAAACAAAATAACAATCATAGGAAAATTCTTTAAAATAATAATCATAGATGTCTCCACAGTCTGCCTTTTGATGAATTTAAACGTCAGTGCTTTATAATAAATCTACAGAGCAGAGAAAGAACTCAGATCAACTCTTACAGAAAATAATCTTGTTACATATGTTCATCTCCAGTAAATATGATTTAGTTTCAGGACTTCACCCTCAAAAATGCAGTTATTTGAAAAAGAGCAAATAAAGAAAATAATAACTCATGTATTTTGGAATTTGGATGCAAGCACAGATTCTTCATTTTTCTCTACTGAGAATACATTTTCAGACTTGCTTCATCTGTATTACTTTTTAACTGACACCATTAGTCACCTGCACTTTCTAAACAGCACTTAATACATGTGCATTCAATATAGTAGGTAGCCTGGGTTAAAATGAAATCGATGATGAATAAAAGGAGACTGTGTCTTTAAATGCTTTTTCTTCATATGCCCTAAAAGCATCAAGGCAATTGCTTTGAAACGGTTTTTTCTTTATGCATACACCAAACTAGATAAAACATTAACAACAGCCTTGCCAGATTCTCCATGTGAATTCTGAGTAAACTCTCTACAACTTAAAAAAAAAAGGGGGGGGTGGATCTTTCTTCCTGTCAATTAAATTCCAGCTCTGTTAATTACATTAAGGTTAGGGACACAAAGTGGCTTCTACACAAAACTGTAGGAATTACATATTGGGAGAACTACCCCATTCCCCTTATGGTGAATGAGCATCACTTAAACTTTCAGACAAGAAAAGGTCAGGCCACTTAGCAACCTGACACAGAGCAGTTGTACGTACTGCTGGCTGCACACCAGAATTTTCAACCAATCCAAATTAGCACAGTCCACTTTTCTCTTTTCCTCTATTCTTATCTGTTTTTCCTTGTCAAACTTCTTCAAGGAAGGTAAAGAGTTTGCCAACTTGCCCTTGGAAATAAAATTTGTTTTAAAACTCTATTATTATTTCTAAATAAATGAGGCAGACAGGATCAGAACAACTCCTACGAAGCAAGCTGTGAAACATGCAGAACGATCCTTATACAAATGGTTGATTCTAAGACTGGAACATCACACGGTGCCAGAAAGTAAGGAGGTGCTCAAAGGGACAGAGGAGCCAAGTGAAAGGTCCCTCGATGGCCAGAGAGGGAACAACCTGGAGCCATACTTAAAATAGCACCAAGTGACAACTCAAAGGACTAAGCAGGTATCAACGGGTTCATATTGATACAAATAACTGATTCAATAAACAAAGAGGGGAGAAACACATCTGCTGTCCAGAACTTCAAATAATTTGTATAGATAGTCCCTCCTAAAGGTGGTGAGAAACATATAGGAAAATATAACATGTTATTAGCAGAAACTGAGTGTGGAGCATGCAGGAACTCTGTACTCCCTCTAATTTTTCTGTAAATTCAAAGTTTTACTACAATAAAGTTTATCTTAAGAGGCAAATCAATGTCTCCAACCACACACTGCCACAAATGAGTTTGCCATCACTTTTCACATAAGCTACTTTAAGAGTGAACATCACCGGACATTTCACTTCTAAGTGTGTTCTCAGCACTTCCTGCTTCCCATTAGAAGTAAAAATCACCCAACACAGCTTCAAGCCTGTGAGAATCCTGTGGTTGTTGCTGGCTTCCAACTACCCATCACTACTTCCATAGAGGCAGCTAGAAGTGACAGGAAAGAGGACATGAGAGCTGAGCAGAATAGGAAATTATATTAATTTACTGATAATATAAAGAAAAGGCCTAGTGGTAAAAGATGAAGCGGCTACACTATTTCTCCCCACAAGAAAGATGCAAAGGTGTAATAACTTGTGACCATTCCATATGAGCTCCTTCAATCAAACAAACAAATGTCTGTGGAATGCCTGATGCGTACTTGGCACTGTGATAGGCTCTGGCCACAGGTAGCACCTCCAGGTGGTATTCCAGTAGAGCTCTGCATACTTAAAATGAATTTTTTTAAATCCCAAACATTTTTAAGATTATTTTTCTCTTTTCTGACAATACCAAGTGTTATACACAATAACTACAGGTTTAAACCAAAAAAGTATGCCTTGCATGTACTAATGCATCCACGTTTACCAGGAAAAAAATACACACACGTCATGCACACATGATCCGTCAGCTGCACTTCTTTGAATTATGACAATAATTTATTACAAAAGACCCCCAAATAGTCAAAACATCAACAAGTAATTTCCTCTTGATGTTACTTTATGAGAAATGCACCTGACAGAGTAGAGCTATTGACGTGTGTATCAATGAATAAGAAAGACTATGGAGCTTAAAAGTGAACACAATATTCAGTGGTAAAGAATGTCTATTAAAAACCACAGAGGAAGTCCAGAGATGAGAATGGAAGAAAGTCTATTTTCCCTCAGGGAGTTAAAGTTAAAAAATCTGATAGCTCATGGAAGTCACCTATAATATAATGGAATATAACAAAGGAGGTAATTTTCTAAGTTACGTATGTTCAGTGTAAGTTTTTGTGGACTCGGGAACTACTGATACTGACAGTACGATCTTTAGAAATTCTATTCTAGGTCTCAGTCAGAAGAAAAAAAAAAGAATCCAAACAAGGAAGACTTTCTCTTCCACTACATGGGGTCAAAAGAAAGCAATCTAGGCTTCCAGGCTTTAATATTATTGACCATATTAATAACTATTAATTTTGAAATTAAAATACATAACCATCTAATTTCCATATATATGCCAAGTGAAGTTCATTTAGTTAAAACCACAACTTCTTGCTTCACATAGTTAAAAGAAAAAAATCTAAACTGATAGAACAGAGTGAAGAGTAAAATAAACATAAAATAAAATATGTTTAAGACCTGTCCAAAGTTAGAAAACCTTCACCAAATTTGATCACATTTCCCCAATTTCCTTTGGCATAAATGATTAGACATTCATGACTTTTTGCATATTGTTTTCATTAAAAGTTCACACATTTTTGATTAAGTGTTGTAAATGGAACTGTGCTTTCTGATGTCACATAAACTTAGAAAAGATATTGGCTTGCTACTCAAAGAAAGAAATAAGCATTTCTTTGCAAAGTAAACAAAAATACATGCTGTTAAGAAAATAAATGCAGCCAGCAACTCCGATGACATTGGATCTGAGGAAAAAAAAATTCTTCAATGCTTCACGTTCACAAGATCTAAGAGGGAAGATGGACGCAAAGCACTACAAGGCCTGACCCAAACGTAGAACATGGCTGAGATGCCTGTTCACAAGCTCCACTGATAGGATCAGGGGCCTGGAACCCAAAATAAAGTAGAAGGGTAATTTTAGTACCACTCAGCATAGCATAGCATAGTGGTTATGTTCCAAAACAAATAAAGGTATTACTATTTCATCCAGATGACTGGACCTCCATATAACATAAGGATTACCATGCACAGCTTATCTATGACTCACATAAATTCCAGCAGAGAAAACCAATGATTTTCATGAAATGTGGATGAAGCAACAGGAGAAATTTTAGAATTCATTTATCCAGACGCAACTCAAAGCTTAAATCACAAGTACTGTAACAATGAGGTTCTGTCAACATTACCCTTTCAACCAAGCTCTGCCAATACCATCTTTGCAGCCTTGTGTGTCAGTTCCTAGAAAGTTCGCAAGAAAGGACACAATCATTCTGCTTAAGGAGTGCATTCAGTTGATTATGAAACGGAAGGCTGAGAGTCAGGTACTAGCTATGCTAATATAAACATTATCTGGCTTTGGACTTTTTAGGGATAGTGTGTATCTCTATGCCACCAAAGTTAAATGTGAACGAATTAAAGAGATACTGTATGTGTCACAGTATTAAATAATTGTAAATGATGTCACTTTATGTTTAAAGAATATAAGTACTGGCCACAGTATACTAAAGATTCATCATTGAATATCTTCAATTAAAATCAATTATTCTCCCTACGTGATTATAAATCTGTATTTGGTGACCAAATAAATTGGATTTTCTTTTTAAACCACATAATTGGCAACAGAATTAACAAAAGCTAACTACCAGATTAAAAAATGTAAGTTACCTAACTAGCCAAGTTGGTAAATACCCAAATTTAATATTCTAAATGTATGGCATAATCTAGAACAAATACTCTCATTCTAATATTAGAAACATTACAGATGCTGACAATTTATATATATTCCCTAATCTTAGAAAAACCATTAAAAGATGAGATGGTCCATGAAATACTATTTAAGCAACGAGAATGAACTGGCTGAGAGCCAGGGTAAAGCCTTTTCCTCTCTTACCTTATATGCTGGACTAGCCACAGACTCCCTCCCTTACCATCTCAGGTGAAACTACCCATTAAAAATGAAAGCATCCTAGAGTTAAATCTGAAGCAGAAAAAATATTTAACTGAGAGGCTTGAATACAAGACACAGTACTTCATTTTTGATCTTTAAAACATACTTCAAATATTTTAGCATTTTTTAGAAGTTCTGAAGTAATCATTAGGCCATCTCCCTGGCAACTTCCATACTTACATAATAAAATTAGCCTTTAAAGGTTTCTGCCTAGCTTTTACTGATGTAGTCAAGTACTCCTGATTCCCTACATACACATACAAAGCCTGCCCTAAGTTTTCACCAGGGAACAGTAACAGGTACATACTGATTCTAAATCCTATTCTGCAGAATCTCTTCTTTTGGCATCCAGTTCCCTGTCTCAAGAACACGTATACCTCAGATCCCCTTAAAAGCGTCTTTAGCTATGCCTTGAGAATTAACAAAATCAGTAAAGATACTAATTTCTTTTTTGTGGAGGGCAGAATGTCCAGAGGAACATAGGAAAACAAAAATATTCATTTCTGCTATTTTAAGTACTTCCTTGTAACAAAAATTCCCTAAACAATCTGGGATATTAACATAACTCAGATTAACAAGTCACTTTATACTTTTGCTACTGGATGTTAGAAAAGTCATTCATTTGGCTAATTTTGGAATTAAACTTTGTTTAATTTCCATGCTTATATTCCCTCTTCAGGAATTACACTAATGTCCTAAGCTTACCTTCAGTGCATTTTCAGAAGCAGCAACAAAATATGGCAGCAGAAATATGATCACATGAACTAGATGCTTAAATTTCAATCTAGCAAACTCTATGTAAGGGTTTTGAGATGAAAAATCTTTTCTTATAGAGTGCTAAAATTAAGAGCCAGATATGTAAACACACCAAAAGGTTCCTTTGCTTTTAAATTCCTGAGAGTCGGACGATTAATAAGATATTGTTTAAACTTTTTAAAGTTCTTCCAGAAAATCTGAGGTGTAACTTACAAGTTTTAAAGCCCAGCCACTTTGTGACACACAAACACACAAAAAGCCAAAAGAGTTAATTACATTTAAGAGCTTCAGGGTAATAATGTTGCCTTTATACCATTCACACTCTTAAGGTACACAGGTTCGCTTTTTAGTAGGAAATAAAATCAATTTTCTGACACTCATAAATCTCAAGCCATTAATTTACCTTCCTCTACCAAATCATTGTCAACTCGGTAACTCAAAAGATTTTTCTGATGCAGGTAGAAGAAAGGTGATAGGAAAGAGTAAGGGGGGGAAACAGTAAATTATGGTTTAATTAAAAGGGAGAGTCATTCAGAATTAACAAGCAATTAACAAAGGAATTGAGGAATTCCTATGAGAGTAAGGAAGGGGGTAGCTATAAAAAGGTCTCAAAGCCTCAGAGCAAAGTAAATGGCACAGTAGACCAAAAGATAACGCAAAACACCGAAACACATTGCACAGAGAGAAAGTGGAAAAATGCGTTCCTGGGGCAGAGAAGTTATAAAATGTTAAAAATCAGGCACGGGTAATGTTTTTGTTTTTCCTGGGAAACTGAGGGGGGGGTTGGGTTAGGAAAGGTTGCATTCCCAGGCAACCACCCTGAAAATAAAGCACTGCCTAATGAGGTAGGGGCCAGGAATAAACAATGGGGGAGGGGAAGGCTGGCTCATTACCTTTATAGACGGTGCTGATCAGAGGCACTGTGCCTTCTGCTTCCCTGGTAAGTGGGTAGACCCCTTCCTGCTTTCGCGTCTTCTTCAGCCAGCTCAAACCTAGAAAAACAGAAACCAGTAAGTGGTGCAGTGCCTCAGGGGTGAGGAGGGGGCTCTGAAGAAGCGGGAGCTCAGGAAAGCGACAGGAGAGTGGCAAGGGCAGGCGAGAAAAAGCAGAGATTTTCCTATCTCCTGCCCTCCCAGCCAGCCCTCTTCCCCTCAGGGGAGGTATCTGACTTTACCTGTCTCCTCAGCTGCTGCTTCTCTTCCTCCTTTTAGCCTCCTCCACACTCACCAACTTCTCCATTGAAGAAATACCCCAGGCAGGGCCGGACCCTGGTGTTCCTGATCCTCCTTGGTGCTTCACGGCCCCAGCCCGGCGAGCATCCAAACAGCCGAGCAGGCTGGAGGTGACGGTCCCCGCTGCCGGGCAGCCTCGGGGCAGGGGTGTAGGGAGGCAGGGAGGAAGTCCCGGCTCCGGTGGGGGGGGGGCAGTCCCGGTCCAGGGCTCGGAACTGGGGGCTGCCGCGCTCCGGGCCGGAGGCTTCCAGCTACGGAGGGACCCAGGAGGTCTCGGGACAGCAAGGTCCTAGGTCATACGAGGTCCGAAGTGCCAGCCGTGGGGTCTCCGGACAGGGGGCTTTCGAGATGCACTTTGCACTGGGCCACCCCTGCCCCCTCCCTCCAGCACTTTGGGGTCACTGGGATGGGACCAAGCCTTCAGCAACCAATCAGCGGCCGCAGTGGAGCCTGAGCCTGGAGCCGTAAACCAGGTCCGGGGTGGGTGGGGGTGGGGGGAGTGGGGGCGACTTGGTTGGTTGGTTGCTTCCCTCTCTCCTCCTTATCCCCAGCAGCCCCCACCTTCTGCCTGCCGTAAAGCTGCCTCTGCATTCGCGACAGTTAAAGGAGGCGTGTCGACCGGGACTGTGACTCGTCTCCGATTGGTCTCACTCACTTACCCCCACGGCTTCCCTGTGGTGGCTTCCGAGGCTCCGCCCCCGACGTGGGACTCTAAACAGTTGCTAAGAGACACTGTACGCCGAACGCGGTCTTTGCGCATGCGGGAGGAGGGGCCAGCGTGTACTTTCTGTGAACTACGGTGGCCCAGAGAGGGCAGGTGTGTTCGCTAGAATGGCGGTGTGAAGAGAGTTGGTCTGAGCCAGATCCCAGGCAGATAACCCGGAGCAGCCGCTGAGCTCGGCGGCCGGGGAGACGTGAGTGCTGCCAAATGAGGGGCTGGTCCAGGGCTTAAGGTTGGGAGGGCGGCAGGCTCAAACAAGCGAAGAAAGGGGTCCTGTTTCTCCACCCCTGCTCAGCGCTTCTCAGACGCAAGTGTCCGGTCCTTGGCGCGTCTGTCAGTCCCTGAGACCCCATTAGCTTCCAGGCTGGGAATGCCTCGCCTAGAGTGGGAGAGGGGGACTCTTTGGGATGGTGACGCCGGTCCAAGGGCTTCCCTGAAGGGATCGCAACGTTGGCGGGTTCCTGTGAATGAATGGGAAGGGGGCGTGGGGAAAATGCGAGATAGACTGATCATGACATGTTTATTAGGCGCATTTATTCATCTAGCAAGTGTTTTACTGGCCAGTGTTCTAGTCCTTGAGGAGACAACAGTGAACAAGATAGTGATTTCGGGGAGACAAACACAAAATTATGAGATAGGGATGCGTTATATGAGGAAAATCAAGCAGAATGGTGAGATCGATTTTGACCAGGACGTGATGGGCTATAGCATATTAGATAGGTAGTGCTATGGTGTGAATATCTGTTCCCTTCAAAACTCACGTGTAATCCCCAGTGTGGCAGTACTGAGGGGTAGAGTCTTTAAGAGGTGGTTGGATCATGAGGGTTCTGTCTTCATGAGTGAATTAATCTATTAATGGATTATCATGGAGGTAGAACTGGTGGCTTTATAAGGAGAGACCTGATAACACGTGAGCCTGCTCGGCCTCTGATCACGTGATACTTTGCTGTGCTGCCTCCTGACACCAGGTGTGGCTTGTCAGTCTTAAGACTTCCCAGTCTCCAATACTGTAGACAATAAATTACTTTTCTTTATAAATTACCAAGTTTTAGGAATTATTTTATAAGCAACAGGAAATGGACTAAGATAGTGAGGAAAGGTCTCTGAGGAAATGACATTTGAGCTTAGATCTGAATGACGAAGAGCCAGCCATGCCAAGATCTAGGGAAAGAATTTTGCCAGCAGAGAGAATTAGAAATGCAAAGCCTCTGATGCTGGCGTATGCTTTGCTGTTTACAGGAACTGCCAGAGAGAAGGCTAGGGTAGTTGAAGCAGAGTGGTGGGAAAATGACTGGTAATGAGACTGGGGGATGAGGCACAGAGATGAGAAAACGCCAAAAGTCAGATGTTGAAGGGCCCGGTAAGTTTTGTTTAGGAGTTTGGACTCTCTTCTAAGGAAAGTGGATTGATTTTTCAGACGAAAAGTGGGTGTAGGATGGGCCACGATACAACCACTTTGGAAGGGATCAGTTGCAGTTGCCCAAGAGAAAAGTGCAGTGAAATGCACAATAAAATGACAGTGAAGATAGATTCAGCTTTTTTATTTTTGGCACATTATAATTTCATACTTTCATAATTTCTACTTTTTATATTTCCATTTCTCCTTGAAATTGGTAGCTGAATTATAATTAGAAACGACTTATTCAGGACTGTTAAATGGTATCAATTTTTAGTAGCTTTCGATCTTTCAATTCTGCCATGATTTCTCCCTTTATTTTTTCTTAACAGCGGGACTCCAATGTAAAAAATGAAATAAAAGCAGTATTTTATTAGTATTGTAAATGAAATGTATAGGAAGCCATTGTTTCAGATTAAACTCCTGCGCTAGGCCCCACAGACCAGCCCAAATCAGAATCAAGTCACTGGTGCTAGATGCCACATAATCAAACAACTTAGAAATGGGCCAGTTGTCAAAAAAAAATTCAGAAGATACACAGCAAAGAATCAGAAGTGGGCTTGGTTTACCTGAGCCAGCATGATTAAAAAAAAACTCTCTCCTCCATTTTGATTCATCAATCTGTCTTTCATTCTCTCTTTTTGCTTCTTCATCCCTTTTTAGCCCACCTCCTCTGCTCAGCTAATCAGAACACCTTTTCTGAATTTTTAGTTGAGATGCTGCCAGGTTCATGAATTGCTAATAAAAGCTAATTCCGTCTTTAAATTTGTTCATATTTTGTTTGCTTTTGTTTGTTTTTGTTTTTGAGATGGATTCTTGATCTGTCGCCCAGGCTGGAGTGCAGTGATGCGATCTCAGCTCACTGCAACCTCTGCCTTCCAGGTTCAAGCAATTCTCCTGCTTCAGCCTCCCGAATACCTGAGACTACAGGTGTGTGCCGCCACACCTGGCTAATTTTTGTATTTTTACTAGAGATGGGGTTTCACCACGTTGGCCAGGCTGTTCTCGAACCTTTGACCTCGGGTGATCCGCCCACCTTGGCCTCCCAGAGTGCTAGGATTACAGGTGTGAGCCACTGTGCCCAGCCTCAAATTTTGTTTTTTAACAGTTCACATATAATGTACAAGTTCAGTGTTATAACATTTACTAATTGCAGAGTCAAGAAGTTTTGAACTCCAAAAAGAAGGGAAAAGAGGGAGAGAAAGAAATTAATAAATACGTAAGTCGTTGTGGAGAATTTATTCAGCCTTGTAGCAGACTCAGCACCCATTCAGCTCATATAGTGTGTTTGCTAAAGGATGGTTAAGTAGAGAGATGGGGGCCTAAGAACTTGTTGGTAAGGAGCCTGGAAACAGAGTTGTCTCCTAATTCCTGACTCTGTATTTCTGGCCATTTAATCCTGTGTTCAAGTTAAACAACAATTTTTCAAACGATCGAAATACATGATTATGTCATAGCCAAGGAACATCATATTGTCAAAGTTTCACAGAATGTACTGCTAGATCATTTTTAATTGCTTTATTGAATTGATGCTATCAAATTTGCTAACTTTTATAACTTCGGTGATTTGTTTTTTGTCCTCTTTGTGTTGAAACAATTTCAATTGCATAATATTTTTAACAAGTTAATATTGATTAGGTTTTAACAGATATACTTCATTTCCCATTTACTTAGTTAATATAAAGCTCAGAAAAATGGGAACATCTTACAACATATAAAAGAAATAATTTGGGATAAGTATTTATGAAGCAATTCATGAAACCCTGACTCATTCAGAATTGAGTTTATTTCTTGAGTAGGAAAAGGCTTCATCATTGGAAAAATGCCCTAGTCCCCTGCAGCAATTGTGATTTAGCTGGTCTCCGGGGAGTCCAAGGCTGGGGGATTTTTCCTAGTGTTCTAGTGATGTCAGTGTGAAGGTCAGATTCCAAGGTCAAGGACCACTGCCCAGGAGGCTGTGTCCTGGCCCATAAAGCACTTGGTGGTGGAGCGAATGAGCAGTTTATGCTCTAGTTGGCAGTAGGCTCTGTTCTGGGCCTGCAGGTGGTGTCTGGGGATCTTGGTGTAATAAAGACGGCCACCAGAAAGACAGGTGCAGCACAGTTTGGAGCCCATTATCTGCCTTGTCGCCCAACTTAGTTCAGCTGTACCTAGCAGAAAAGGGAGATGGGGCTGGGTAGAAAAATTGCATTTCAGACCTTGGTCATCCCAGCAAAAAGAATGTTGAAAGAAAGGAAGCTAAATGAAGGCTTTTGAGTTCCTTATAGTTTTGCCCTGGCTAAGGGATTTTGGTCTCTAGGGTAGTTTTAATTTGTACTGTGTCACAACCATTTTAGGATAGTACTTCAACATGTGTTGCTTCTGTTGAGGACATTGTCAGATGTGTAATACAGTAAAGACGAAATAAGCTCAGAACTTAATCCCTGCTATGGATACTACTGTTTACAGTTTTTTGAATTATGTTTTTATTATAGTTTAAAATTCAGAGCTTGAAAATTATATGGCATGTTAAAAGTTTTTTTGATATCAAAACAGCACTAAAATATACTTTGGGACATATTTTAGGATTATTTGAGACATATACACTACTAAATTAATCTTTGGGCAGGAACGTATTCCACAAATACAAGTACCTACTGTGTATCAAATGCTGTGCCAGTAGCTAGACAAGAACCTAACTTGGAAGAACCAAGCAGACAACTCTTAACAGAATTTACAGTCTAGTGCGGAGACATACACAAACCATTGCACAGATCCGTTCAAGTACAGCTGTGACATGCTCTGTGAGGCAGAGCCCCAGAGCTGGAAGACAGAGTATCACCAGAGGACCTGGCCCTGCCAAAGAAAGTCATATTTAAGTCTAAAACAAAAGGGAAAGTGAACAGAAGAGCTTTCTGGGCAGAAGGAGAGGTATTGCATTGAGGCCCAGAGGCAGGAAAGAACCTTTCAAATTAATAAAGACATATTGACGTCCTCCTACTTGAGTTATGTAGATGTTTTCACCATATAAGCCATTTAATTTTTGCAAATCTTGGAGTGTATGCTACTTGGCTGAGGTAGATAGATAATCTCATTTTATCAATTGAAAATCAAATCTTATCTGTATGTACAGAATTTAGGAGTTCAGTAAAATCTGGGTAGTATCACATCTATAGACAGTTCCTAAACACTACTCTGCCACTGGTGGCAGGTTTGTGGGGGCAGACGGAAAAGGGACAAGGCATAGACCAGAAAAGGGGAAGACTAAGGAAAACCTTTCAGTGAAACATTTCATTCTGAAGTACCACTTAAAACATACAGTCATAATTTAGCAACTAAGTGTAGAAAGTATCATCATTCATATTAATACATTGGGGAGTTTCCATTTATTTAAAAAATGCTTGGCATTGGCTGGGCATGGTGGCTCATGCCTGTAATCCC